ACAGCATCAGAGTTCAATATATTTGATTTCATCAAGGCCACGTTCGAAGATTGCTAAAGCAGGCGAGATTTGCTAAATGCACAGTATGGCGAGTGCTGCAAGCAACATCCAGCAATTTGAGAAAGAACGGTAAACAATCGCAAACCGACATTGAGAAGGGTTTCAATACTATGTATAATGCAGTCCAATTTCAATTACCTTCATTCAGGCTACGATGCCGACTCTGATATTAGCTTCTTTCTGACCGGTGCAAAAAAAGTTGATTCTGTAAAAAATGGCTACTTAAATTGTTTGCATTATTATCATTGCTACCGACTGCCATTATACATTCAAATATAATTTATGGAAAGCATGCACGAAAACATCCTGCTTTTTAGTGATTTTGTGTAATATTACGCCTTCTTTAAAAAATTTTCTGAAAGTAAAGGTTTCCTTCGGTTCAAAAAAATAATTCTTGTTTGAGGCGTTTTACGACTGTACTAAGTTCATTCATTTAACAGCGCATGTGGCAAATTGTTACTGCCGCCCCTGATATATACAGCCTGATAATGATAAATTTTATGACAGGTATGCAACCACATCCTCAAACCATACGCAAGAACCTATTTTCCTTAAACATGATGAGTACAGCATTCACCTTGTAAAACTCGAATTCAGTTCTAGCAATCGGTAGGTTTCAAAATCATTCCGCAATTTAGCATTTTTTTAAACCGGAGGAAACCCTTGCTTTGAGCATAAAATTTAAAGAAGGCGTAATTTTCTATCAACTACGTACAAGAGAGAATTTTTGTGCATAATTTCCATAAAATATATTTCAATTTATAAAGGCAGTCACAAGCAATGATAAAAATGCGAACTATCTTAGTAGCCATTTTTACACAATCAGCTTTTCCGCAGTGGCCTGAAAGAAGCTTATCACAAAGTTGGCATCCTAGCGTGATTGGAAATAATTGAAATTGGTTTGCATGATAACAGCTTGGTTGCGGGCTCTATATGGCCATATATGTTAACAACTTCTGTTTGTGGGACAAAAAGTAAAACGAATTGCAAAACAGGATTCCATTTAATTACTCGTGTATTCTCTTTCCGCACAATTACCTCAGTTAACTGAACGCCAAACAAAAGTTTCCGTTCTGCGAATGCGTATAATCAAACAATTTAGGGTATGATTTAAATTACTTTGATATCAAAACACACGAAGATGTTTTTTCGGCAGCGTTTTGTTTCAAATTAAATTCCTTGGATAAAGGCACACTTTGATTTTGCCCAAATTCTGCTCCAATTTTGCTACCCAGTATATGTTTCTTAACTGAAATCCTCAGTACTCTAGAGCATTTGGGACCTCTTTTTTCCTCATTGAATAGAAAAGGCAATTTGAAAAATAAAGTGAAGCTAGTATTCGAATTGTAGCCTTCATATTTCATCAGCTGTACAATCTACTGGATTTTCAGTCATAACTAGCAACAAGCAATGTGAGAAATGAACTTACTAACTTGAAAAAAAATAGGCATAATTCATTAACTTTAAATACGTTGATGCGAACAGCTTGTAACGCGGTGGCAGCATAAGTGGTTTCGGCATTGGTGACGCAATGTCTGGGATGATGTGCATCACATTAATTGCATATGTTACTCAGCAAAACAAAACTGGACGAATTAAAGTTTTGGCTTTTCGCAGATGAGCTGTTAGATTAACGCTGTGCAACAAATTTTAACTCACGGACCCAGTCTGTTTATCTAACAGACGCAAACCAATCTTATATTTCGCACCTGCGTCTAATCTCAAAAGCTGAAGATACATTTCAGTCAAGTACAGGAGTATCAGCTTCCATGCGTAAATGTCCATACCAGTTCTCGTGGCCTAGGATGCA